AAACAAGCTAAGGTTCACCCAGATCTCACTTTCATCAAAAGTTGATATAGGAAAAATAAATGAACCAGACCCCAATGAAAAAGAGGACTAAACACCAACTTTTTAATGGTCATCCGTGTTATGGGTCAGGAGAATTAGACCATCTCTATAAACAGTCTCTGTTTGATTTGCAGTGAAAATAGTATGAGAGATAATATAACAAAATATTGTAGCTGGGCTGTACACAAATAAAATGTTTTCCTGTCATTTTAAATGGAAAGTCCCCAAGCCCTGTAAGCAGAAACAGATGCATGGTCAGCAAAGATTACACCCCAAGAGAGCAATGATTAATTATGCACTGTCATGCAAATGCTGCCATTTTTAGCCCACTGACTGAATCCTGGAGGGCCCGTTAGCATTTATAAATAGTATATAGTTAAGAGCTTGGGTATTAGAGAAAGTCCCTGATTCCAAACTTCAACTTTTGGCTGGGTGTTCTGGAATACATGAGTTAACTCATGGAAGCCTCAGTTTCCTTATCTGTAAAGTTGGGGAGATACAACTTGGTATTTCCCTGATAGTGTTGATAGGATTAAAAAAAATCACCCATGCAAACCAACTTGTCTGGTATATAATAAATGCTTAATGAATACTGGATGTTAAGAATCTTTCCAAAATGCTCATTTGTAAGCTTTGCTTTAATTTAAAAATGAAACAGATTTCTATATATTCATATCATATTTTTGTTATATAAATGATACTATCAAATACAAAGTCTTCAGAATAAATGTGCTTATATATTTCCCCAAACATTCCCTCATCATAAAATAATATAATAATTTTCCTGATCTTTGGGGAGAGGTTTAAGTCACGTGCATTGGAGGAAATAAAATTTCTCCAGTGGCAAATCTGGGATACCAAGGCTCCCACCCCATTCTCTCCCTAAGTTGATTTATGATATTCAGGAAACACCAACATAAATGGGGCACATCTGTACTACCATATACCTCATTGGGAAAAATACAGAGCAAGCATGATGCCTCTAACATGTCCCCTGGCACTAACATTTCCCTTAATTTTTTCCAGAAAGTCTAATCATGGGAAAAAGCATCACTCAAAATAACTGAAAAATTTATCTCTTAGAGACACTGCTGTGATTTGTAGACAGCTACTGCTTGCTTCCTTCTCTCTGTCTGCCTCTCTGTCTTTTTCTCTCTCTGTCATATTTGCTTTGTATTCCTTATCCAATGCCCAGTCTTTATCTATCATCCAGCAATTTTTTCCTTATCTTTTGCCCTTATATCTTAACAGCGTGTCTGCTTTCAGTCTGTTTTATTGATGGGCTTTAAATGGTTAGTTTAATTGTTGCTGTTGTTGCTGTTACTTTGCATCTTTTCTTGTCACTATCTAAGTGCAGTGGTATACTATGAATCATTAAATTAGACTCTGTGCATTTGGTCAAACAACTCACGTTGAAGGCCTCCTTTTCCACAGGCTGAGGTCTAGGAGCCGAGGATTTGCAGTCAGTGAATGAGGATCCCTGCTGTCAGGACCCTCATTACTGTCAGCTTCTCCCGAACTGGAATACACAGCCCTTGAGCTCCTTAAATCCTCATGCTTTTCTATCGAGCTAAGAATTTCTAGTCAAGCAAACCAGCTTCTGCTCCCCATCTCCAAGTCCTCCCACAAGCCCTCACAATGCCCTCTTTCACCTGCTCCATATTTTTACTCAAGCTGTGTTTCTCCTTTTTAAAGAATTCCCCCAATGTTTGACCACTTGTCCAAATTCAAACATAACCTCCCTTTGAAGAGCAGCTTTGCCTTGGCAGAGCCTTCTCAACCCGAGCCCACAGCATTCTTTCTGACTTCAGTAGGGTTTATTTCTACCACCCCACTGGCACTTGATCAGGTGGGCTGTTGTTATAAACACAGACCCTCCATTTGCAATGTGCACGTACACTCGGCCTCCCTCTCTGTGCCGTATCTTTTTGTACCTCTGCAAGAACCTAAATGCATTGTGGAGGTATGTACAGAACATGTTCACGAAAAATCTTGTGTGGTAGAATGCACCAAGTACATGCAGTGCACAGTCAGGTATTTCCCTTTGCTGTCATTTGGCTAAATTTCTCGTTCATTGGGCATGATGTGATCTGGAAGAAAGTTAGAGAACATTAAAGAAAGGTCTGCCTTCTCAATCTAGTTATCAGGCCAATTTATTCAAGTGTTCTGTTGTTCTTTGGAGGAAAATGTTCACAGAACAATATATATTATATATACATACACATATATGTATATATATATAATACATGCATTATTATATTATATATGCTATTATGTGTGTATACGTATAATTAAAAGACATGATTTTTGACTGCACTCTTGAAAATTCAAATATTAAAATCAGTGTTTTTCAGCTCAGATTATGTTTCAAAATTATATGTGGATTAAGTAAAGTCTCAGTTATATCATGGACAACTTGAGATAGAGCTCTATGGGATCCTATGCATGTTTCTTTCACTCATTCCTGTAGAACACTGGACATGAGCCTTGTTGATTTAAGTAGGTTACACCAGGACACAGTGCATGCTACCTAGCCATTCCTTGACTTATTCCTGCAGTAGCGTGGGTCACTGCCGAGATACTGTGGATCATACTACATTGGGCACATCTTTTCCTCCACAGAGATGTTTCTGCAAAGCTATAATTTATTAGTACGCCTTGACATTTATTGAGATCTATCTTAGTTGGGTTTCCCCAAAGGAAAACTTGAGAGTTTAACTTGGAAAGGAACCCAAGGAGGCAGCACTGAGGAAATAAGAAGGCTGAAAAAAGAACAGGGAAAACTGAGAACAGATTCTGTCTATGGTATATAGAGCTTTGTCTCACTAAAGACTCTCTGAGAAACTTCAGAATGGTCCCACCAAAGAATGAGGGGGCTGAGGCATTTATCCATGGAGGGTTGTTTACCCCTGAGGGTTACCCCAAAGGAGTTAATTCCTCTGTATTTCCTGGCAAGATCACGAAGACTGGACAAGCCCCAGTGAAGGTAGCTTCTGCAGAATAGAAGAGTGACCCAATCCTGGGCAAACCACACACAGACATTCCAGAAGCTGAGCTGTATATTTGAATTCATGCGGCATCAAGAGATCTGTTATAAGAGACTGGAAGTCAACACTGTCCTTTTTGTTTTGAAAAACCATCATTACAATATTGTCTTTGCATAGTTTAATATAAAAGCATGTGCCATAAATACCAGACACTCAGGAAAACATTAGTCTCCTGTGATGATATAGTTGTCATCATCTCATTAGAGAACAAAGACCTGCAACTCATTGTGTTTCTGTCCTTGCCAGGGCTCCTCGCAACTCAAAGTTAAGTCCTTAGCTGCCCTTCAATAACTTTCCTCTCCTTTGCATTTATTTTGTTAATTACTGCTCAGATCCATACTCTACATAGAGATTTTCTCCTAAATTTTTTACTTTTTGTATCCCTGCATGTGTCTTAGATATTGCCTCAAATACATTTTAGGGGAAAAAAGATTTGTATTAGAAATCATAAATAAAAGGCCAATCTAGGAAAAGGAATAATTCACCATGATATTTTATAGTAGCCAAGGAAATTGAGTCAAAGGAGGAAACACTTGCATTGAGTCTATACTTTTTCAAGGTGTGAGATATTATATTAAACCCCAATTATCTTCATCATGCAGATGGGGAACCCAAGGCTCAAAGGAACCAAAGAACCTGCGGGAGGTCAAGTCAGTCATCTGGTGGATGTGGGAGCCAGACCTTCAGGCTGGTCTGCCTGGCTCCATCCACGCGTTCCCCAAGCTATGACCTTCGAACACTGCGAGCATAGTGACCAGTGTTAGATTATGCCTAACAAAGGAGTGATGCAATATGTATATGTAATAACACATTATATACTGTTATTTTTGCTTTCCTTTAACATTGAACCCTTTCCTAAAATCATAGTGATGATGGAGAGAATGAAAGACTAAGCCTAGGGTCAGCATTTCATCTGCTCTTGACATGTTTCTAGAGCTCATTCGCAATTTTAAGGTAGCACACTACCCAATTTGTCATACTATTAAAGATTTTTGAAATGAGTAGACTGTACTTACTGGATGCAAACAATTACAAGGAATCACAAAAGAATTTGAATATAAATCATTTCAATCTGACATTATTTATTTTGAAAAGCAAATTAATGACAGCAGAGTGAATGTAAATTTCAACTGCAGTATGCATGTGCTTTGGGAAACCTGGCTCTTCCACAGGATGGCACAGGGAGAAGTAATCCCTAAGAAGCCACTGGTTCCCACCAACCTGAGCCATTTGATTCAGACAAACTCATGCTGGATGGCCTTCTTTCTCAAAACCAAGGGTTCTTAAATCTGATTATGCCACAGCCTGAACTCCACCGTGGATATGAATAGATTTTAATCTCATCAACCAATGTTATGGCAGCCACCAAGTCAAACTTGTCATAAGATAAACTTTCTCGATGTGGTTAAAACGGACATCACGATGTAAACAGTTGGCCTCTGAGAGGAATTAGCCGGTTCCAAGACTTTTTAGTCTCAAGTACTTTTTATGCCAAACCTTTATTTACTCTGACTCAGAAGGCACACCTGGCTTAATTCGGAAGGTTTAGTTAATAGACAGAAATGCGTCCTCATAGGCAGGGCTGCCTTCAAATACTGTGGAATCACAATATCCAGTAGTGCAAGGGCACGCAGTGATGAGAATCAAACTGCCTAGCTCGGAATGACACCCACGGGGACAACAACAAGCACACCTGACTCCTGGGATTCAACAGACCTAGGGCTTCCTCATCCCATCCCAGATGTCACAAAATCCACAGAGGCAGAGCACTTCGAGTTAGTAAACCATGACTTCAATAGAAAGCGAAGAATATAGATGCTTCCTGTTTCCAAATTGGACTAAGATGGATTTACATGTGCTAATTGGCTTCAGTAGATTCATCTCTAAAAATAACAGTGAGAGAAATGCACATACCGTCAACAAATTCGGTCTGCCTGGGAACCGAAGCAGCAGATGCTTCACATCTTCAATTATTTCTCAACAGCTGGCAGGGATTTAAAAATCATCAAAGGCATTTATTAATAACAAACGCAGCATCCAACTTGAGGGATGGGCATAGCTTTGTGTTTTCGTTTTGTGACCATTTCTGCAGTCAGGGGAGAACTGACGAATATTGAAAAACTGTAGTGGGTTCAGCAATGAGACTCATGAACTGAATAAATGTAACACAAATTCAGTCATAGGTAGAGAAAAAGGATTTCATACTTAACTGGAGACACAGGAAAAGAGATGGCATCACTTTTCTTACCAGCTATCATCAATGTTTGATTCATCATAGTCTATAGTATGGCTAGATAGGCGTAATTTTTTAAATATGTAAATAATTGGAAACAATTTATCCCTTCGCAGGGATTGCTAAATAAACAATGGTAAGCTACACAATAAAACACTACACATGTATACCCCACAAAAATGTGCTAAATCTTTATACATAGATAGCTAGAGAGAGTAGTGTTTAATTGTTTATATTTGCATACAGAAACTATTAAACGTGGGCAGGTAATGGGCAGGATTGGGCTGAATGCAGAAGAGAGCAGAGGGTGGGAGCTGGTCTTCCATAAACCTTGTTTATTTTAAATGAATTTGTTTTCCTTCCTGTCAGGGCTTCGCAGTAATGTCTCTTACGCCCAGATACTGCTTCGGGGGTCTCATGGCCCTCTCAGGCAAAGCTCCCTCAATGTTTGGCTAGATATAATTTCCCAATTAAAAGTAATGTTATAAAATGTTCTTGGAGCCCTGTATTTTTCTTCCTTACAGTTATCTTTATTGCAAGTGTGTGTGTGTGTGTGTTTATTTATTTACTATCTCTCCCCAAACACTAGGCTGGGAGTCCCTGGGGCATGGGGTTTTGGTTTCTGCTAGTTGGCTACCGAATCTCTAGTACTGACAGTGCTTGACTCAGAAGGGCTCCCAATGCCCACAGCCTGATGGCGTGGATGACGGCCTATGCACATCACTGGCTAATATAAACACACTGTCATTTACTGCCTGTATTTGCTCTTTTAGTCCACTTTATATGGGCAATATGGGCTGCACTGAGACACATAGGAGAAACTTCTCAAGAACAGATATTATCATTGTCCTTTCATATAATCAATCTGCAAAAATGCTTTTGCATATGTACTTTGCATTTAGGAAGCACAGCAGAGACATGAGAGATGTACCCATTTTCTATGTATGCAATTCTACAAGCACTAAAATTCTCTCTTTGCTGATGATATGATCTTACATCTAGAAAAGCCCAAAGCTTCTGCCATGAGACTACTGGAATTGATAAACAAATTCAACAAAGTCTCAGGTTACACAATCAATGTACAGAAATCAGTAGCATTTCTATACACTGACAACAGTCAAACTGAGAACCAAATCAAAGATCAATACCCTTGACAATAGCAACAAAGAAAATAAAATACCTAGGAACTACTATAAACATTCCATTCAATTTGTCATCAGGTTTACAGTTTTTAAAATTTAATTTTGTTTTTAACTTTGAAAAAATTCATTAGTTTTTAATTGACAATAATTGTGTCTATTTATGGACTACCCTGTGATGTTTTGATCTATATATACATTGTAGAAAGATTTCAATCAATATAATTAACACATCCCAGACAGTTTTAGTCATTACTTGAGAGGAACTTGTAGGTTAAATTGGTAGAAATGTCAGAGTGATCAAAATTTACTTTGTACCATGAATTCATTGGAACCCATGGTGATGCTGAATGTCTAAACAGCGCTGGCCATGGCAGTGGGCCATGGCATAGCAGTTATTTGCAGGGTAAACTATGGATGCCCACTGTGAGCCTCTTCGATGGCCCATTCCTCAGCTGCTATAATGTGGGCTAATGGCTCCTAACGGCACCCCTCTCTGTTAAATTGCCAGTGACTTTCAAACAGGGTCCAAATTGGTGCTCTGAGGCACCCCATTGAATCGGGTTGAGCTTTTCTCCAGTTGAAACTACATCCTTGTCCCAGGCTGCTTCCCTGGCCCCTCACCATCAGTCACCCCATCTTAGGCTCTCCTCCTGGGGAATCTGACCTAAGCTAGTCTTTGAAAGTGCCACAGACTTATGGACAAATGGCCAGTGCTTTGTGACATACTTGTATCCCAAACTTTACTTTTGCATAATTGTTTGAGATGACTGCTAAGCAAGTAAAATTATTGTTTTATAGGTATTTTACTTAACTGCCTAGTGTATCTTTTCCTTATTATTTGTAAAATAAGAATAAGCACATCTAACTAATGAGTTTATTGGGGGAATTATATAATGGAGCACATGTCGAACAGGCTGCCATGCATGTAATAAGTACAATGAAATTCGGATTAATTTCCATTCAACTTCTGCATGATCAGGAATAAATGCAGCAGAACCTTGACTGTAATAATCAATTTGGGAATTTTGCTACTTTTTTCCCCTAACAGTATCTTGTGAGTTCTTTAATGCAAGATTTTATGAGGAAAAGAAATAGGTGAATTAAGTGAATGTAAACAATAAAACGTTCTCCAGACAGACTTGACTATAGAATTAACATATGTATTTTTGACTATGGTATTTCTGTATTCATTTCAACTCCCTCTACAATGATGATAGGAAATGCTGGGATACTACCAGTCAGGGTCTCGATGACCTTCATCTTTAACAGGAGGCAAACACCCACTCGAGGCTATGTAACACAGTTGACCCTTGAACAACATGGGTTTGAACTGCACAGGTCCACTTACAGGTGGATTCTCTTCCTCCTCTGCCACCCCTGAGACAGTAAGACCAACCCCTCCGCTTCCTCCACCTCCTCAACGTGAAGACGAAGAGGATGAAGACCTTTATGATGATCCACTTCTACTGAATAAGTAGTAAATATATTTTCTCTTCCTTATGATTTTTAAATAACAATTTCTTTTCCTTAGTTCACTTTGAGAATACAGTATATAATACATATAACATAAAAAATAGGTGTTAATCTGCTGTTTATGTTATCAGCAGGGCTTCTTGTCAACAGCGGGCTACTAGTTAAGTTTTTCAGGAGGCAAAAGTTATGATTTTTTTTTAAGCCAAAAAGTATTCCATTGTGTACATATACCGCATTTTAAAAATCCATTCATCCATCGATGGACACTTAAGTTGTTTCCGTGTCTTGGTTATTGTGAATAGCACTACAATGAACAAGGGAGCGCAAATATCCCTTTGGCATGCGGATTTCATTTCCTTTGGGTGTACTGGGATTGCTGGATGACATGGTGTCAGATAGTAGAAGTTCTGGTGTTCTATTGCACAGCGAGTTGTCTATAGCTATTCATAATATATATTTCAAAATAGATAAAAGAGAGGATTTTAAATGTTCTTACCACAAAAAAAAATAGATATTTAAGGTGGTAGGTATGCTAATTACTCTGATTTGATCATTCCCAAATGTACATGTGTATTGAAATATCATTCCGTACCATAAGTACATACAATTATTTACCAATTAAAAGCAAAATAAGGCTAAAAAAGGAATTTTAAGAAAACTTTACGAACTATTTGAAAGGAGGGATCATTTATATCTCTCTTTTGTTCTTGATTTTTTTAAAACGCAGACTTCTATGATGGTGAATCTCTTATCCAAAGAAGAGAAAGGCAGCCACATGAGCTTGTGCCGTTGGTAATAATCCACAGAGATTGCAGGAAGAAATCATTTCTAGGAAATATTTCCAAGTTCATAAGGATCAACTTCATGACTGGTGGGTGGTTGGTGGGCTTTGTTTTTTTTTTAAGATTTTTTGTAAATTGTTTATCACTATGCCAAGATGAACATAATTGATTTTCCAAGGGAAGATTCTGACTTTCTATCCCGAGACAATTTGAAATGTGCTATGTCAGAAATTCAGTGTGAAACTTCATTGTCTTTGACAGAACTTCAAACCGTTTCTTCTATCACGCTGGCTCATCAACTGCTTTTGCTTTATTAGAGTTGAAATGTTTTACCATCAAATTGTTCTGCTTAAATTCCTCTTTTAGCCTAAAATTCCCTAAACATAAAATTCATTTAGCATAACACTATGCTTTGTTGAACCCACTGTATTTTATTTTTCTGAGCCAGGTAAAAGAAAACTAGAGAAGAAATGAGCTTTAATGATCCTACTTTTTGTAGAGAATCAAACTTAAATGCTCTCATATTTTTAAAAGGTGTCTTACATTCTTATGGAAAACTTTCCATGTATTTCATCTAAATAATTAAAGGAACATTATTTCAGAATCTCTTAATGATTTATTGCTTACAATATTTAATATGATCTTTGATGTTGAATATGTATTTGAAAATGTCTACTACAAGAGAGGTAGCATGTGTTATGAAAACAGCAATGCATGAAGTGTCCAGCCCTACTAATGATAATCATTAATGGCATAGCAAGGGCATGCTACTTGATCTCTCCAGCATCATCTTTACTTACAAGTAGGAGTTTCAAGGAACGATTTCTGAAGTCTCTGATGGGGTCTAAGTTGTAAATGTTAAATGAGCTCCATGTCTGAAAAACACCAGCATCTCTCCATTGGTTATAAAATGTAAGTCACTATGAATTATGGTTAAAGTAAGAGTGAGTTCAGATGTTGGGGCTGTGCTTGGAGGAAGTTTAAGTAAGATCTACGGGCATCTGCAGAGCTCTCACGTTTGGGGTAGATTCAGCAGGAAAATGTCCAAGGGCACAGGGGATGGCCATGCTCTGTGGAATGGTGGTGGTGGCTCCAGCCTTTATTGTCAACAGTGGGGAGAGACACTCAGGATTGGAAGACAGTGAGTGAAGGCAGCCCCTGGAGATGTCACGCTGGTGCCAGGAAGTCTGCAAGATGCAGACAATTTGCCTTTCCACCCCATGGGGGTTAGTGGATGTCTTATAATTAAATAAAGGGCTTTTGTAAAACTTCAGCACTTTACATTTAAACGGGTCAGATTGGCTCAGGTTGGGGTAGAGTCTACCCCAATTATTTCATTTTGCTTTGACTTTTG